TTTCATAATTTAATCATATACATTAAAGGTAGTCCTTTTCATAAGCCTTATTGGCTTCCATGGGCTCCCTTGCCCCCTCCATCTGAATTTTGTATCATTTAATTTAAATGTGACAAAATTTAGTAAAGTATAAATAGACGGAACATGACTTTCCAGGTCGTTCCGGGAGAACTGAAAATTTCCGGGAGCAACAGAACGCCTGAAAAGGTAGTCCTGTTTTCCTGGTTTTATTATATGGCTACAATAGTACGCACGCTCTGATTGGCCGCTGAGCGGGCAAGATTTTCTTGTAATGACCGGGCGCGCGTTATGAAATTTTTTTCTGGGCTTGACGAGAAGCTACTAGCGCAAGGGGCGAAAGCAAAATGATAAAAAAAAAACACAAAATATAACTATCTTTTTAATAAGTGAAAGAAAAATATCAGCATACCGATACTTCTTCAGTATGAGCAACGAAGAGAGTTACAGCAAGAGTGAGTTTTTTATCCACAGGAGGAAGAACAGCGCAGTAAGGCCATAATTTTAATAAATAACTTATTAATCTCGCCCGTCTAAAGCGTTCGGTCGTTACAGGGAAATCTAAGACATCGGCGTTGATGTATTGACTGCGCCATCGCTCTGTCAGTACATCAAGGCCTCGGTCTGAGATTTCCCTATAATGACCTCACTCTTGGTCAGTAAGTGGTATGTAATGTCCCAAACGGAGATTCATGTTCCATACCTATCTTTGATTCAAGTTTCTGGCTTTCGCGGCCGTTCTTCAGTACCTCGGACGGGTTTGTACAATTGGTAAACGCGATCCTGGGTGAGATTACCATCTTAGAGCTGTCTATCGTAAAGACAGTCTAAAACTTTGACTCCAAAATAATGTCAGTTTTAGCGAGGTGTCCTCAGTTCTTTTAGAGGGGTCCATTAAGAGAGACTTGATTGCACAAGACAGTGAAGAGAGATTGTACACAGAGGGTCGTCAATAGGTTTTTCGGGATCCGGAATTTCCCTTATTTCGGGCTCTGGATTCGGGACTCTAAAGCAAAATCGGAGCGGGATTCGGGATAAAAAGTACGCGTGGATTGAAGAACCCTTTTGGGGACCCTCTACACATGTATGTCCGAATTTTCCAAACACCTTTTTGGTGTAAGTTTATGTCCTGTAGACGAGAAATTTGAGTGTGTGCAGCTCTCAAAATCGTCAAAAAGAAATGATAGTCATAGATACATATCGAGAAAAAGAAAATGATCTCTATGTGTTCTGAAAGAAAATCAGCGGATCGTTGACTAATCACAATTCATGTCATAAAATGCATATATAGTACACGGTTGGAAAAATCGATTCGTTTTTAACACATTCATTAATCATTTCCTCTAGAATTTTTTCTTTACGACTAAACGCCCTGCATGTATAAAATATATTTTTTGTTCTTTTGTTTTAGATTGTTGGGACTGTATAGTGACGTGTTATTTTATTGACACTGCTCACAATGTCATCGCCTATATAGAAAATATTTCCAGACTCTTGAAACCTGGTGGATATTGGATTAATCTCGGTAAGTTGACGGCAATTGTACAGCTATAATAACTTCAATGAGAGGAAGAAGTAAATCTTTTTTAACGTCCGAAGCTTGGAGCGTTTCGCGGGAAGCGTATTAACGTACTGAAATCTTGCCCTGTGACTTTCTCCTCATCTGATTATGTGCTTATTTCTGTCTCTCTGGCTATGTGGGAAATGGCGGATAGACAGACTGTCTGACGAGTCACTCGCGCTTCACTAAGAATACTAGCTTGCAAACCGTACTAACCTTCTAACCGACCCCCTTAAGTGTTTACACGGATGCGTACATCTAGGATACAATACAATAGTATTACAGTAATACACCTTTTGCTGTTCATTACGAGAGAATACGCAATCATTTGCGTAAAACCGCGACCAATAGCGCGAAGATACATTCATTAGTGCGAAGAAGCGAACATTTGCGCATAAATCAGATTCAATAACGATTTTTGCATTTTAATCAACATTCAATAACTCTTTTGGGCATTCATATGGGTCATTGGGCATACAAAAGAGAAAAATATGCTTTCATTAACGCCAACATCAAAGTCATTAACACCATCTTGAAAGTCAATAGGGACAACTGACATACATTAAAGTGCAAGCACTGTTCATTAACATTTTTATGACACTGTTTACTATTCAA